TTACCAAAATTTCCAGAATAGGATTGTTTACATTTTCTCCTTTGCAGAGTTTCTATTATAGAAAGAAAGTAAATATTATAAGTAACGAGCAATTATTTATTGTCACATGGTCACAATACCGGGCTTCAAATTTTAATTGTATTATTTATTTAATTTAAATATTAACAAATTGATAAATAATAAATTTACCTTTATACTTCCTGCGGTCAACATGAGGAAATTTAAGCTCTCGAAAAAAAGAAATTTCTAGGAACTATTCTCAGATCGATATATTATCTTATTTTGTGTAATTTTGCTATTAGTTATGCAAAACAGAGACTCGTGTGTGATCGTTATCAGACGATTACCACCTCTATCTACTGCCTGTATGTAATTAAAATATTCAGCTTAAAATCGTTACGACACTTTTTACGATATTGCGTCATCATAACTGAGTTTAACTATCGAAGTTATAAAGACAATGATTATATTCTACGAGTTTTTTTCTGTACTATAATTACAAATGTAGTAAAAATAATATCTTTACTTTCATTTATTAACTTTTATTATCGTATTATTAATTAAGATAATATACAGCACTTATAAGTTTAGCTTTTTTTTATTATATACTCCTCTAAATTGAAGGATTTTCCTTTGGCCGTCCGTATCGCGTGTTTTAGGCATCCATTATTATAATCGGGATACTTCTTGTCGTAGATACACGAATACTTTCGATAAATCTTTCCAGATCTACTCTAGAGTAGCCACGAGGAAACGTACACAAAAGTTCGTTTTCCACTATTTTCGCACCGTGTCATAATGACCTAGATTTCACTGACTTCTGATTGGTGGATGGTATCGTTTTACGGCCGTATTCGCGTCGAAAGTTGAACACTGCTGAACTCGCTTTTACGCTCGTTTTACGACCTGCTCAGGCGTAAAACATCATGATCACGTGATTAAAAGCTTTTTCGGCAAGGGGTTTTACGCCCATTTTTACGCTAGTGGAGTCTCGGCCTTATAATACCCCGCGTTTCTTTATTCTGATTCTTATTCTTCGGACAGAGGAGTGTATTGCTATTTCCTGAAGAGAAGAAGAGACAGGGGATAGATCGCAAGACGACGGAAGAGCTGGCCTTATAGAAGACGGCCGGAAGGTATAGGAAGGGAAATAGAATGCCTTCCGGGAGGACTTTTATGGAAGCTGGCCACCATTTAGGCGTCATCTGCAAGGAGAAAACCCGGAAAAAGTCCAAGCTGCCAGCCTTGTCCGATTGAGGCGCGAACCTACAACCGAAAGCCAGTGTTTAGGGTTTGGTCATCGCCACTACGAGCGGAGACGGAGTCCACTCAGCCAGTGTTGCCGGATTTGAAGGTTAAAAAGTAGCGTGGTTGTTCTCCAAAAGTAGCGGATTTGAACTATTTGTAGCCCAAACAATAAAAATGAATTATTTTGCAACTATGCACTTTTACTAATGAAATAAGTTTGTAATATATGTATATACATGCACATGGTGTATCAGAATGACGTTTTAAAAATTTGGGGATTGTAGAGGATGAAATTTTGAACGTTTTGATATAAGGAACCTACAGCCGGAAATGAGATACGTATAAAGTTTCTACTGCACTTTGCACGTTCTATGAGGTCGGTATGCTGAATGAAACAGCAGAATACAGTATTTATGACAAGTTTTATTGACAAAACAGTAGAGTACAATCAAACTGTACATCGAATCAGTGGCTGCACTACTTTAGAGTAAATGTTCAGTGTGACGACCACCAACTTCGTTACATAATGTGCAACGACGAACCATGTTTTGTCCGACTCTCCGTAAGATGCCACGCTCCCCTCTGATGGTATTAAATGCTGTAAAGATGCGCTCCGTAAGCTTATGAACTGTTCCTACAGGTGTTGCGTACACAAGGGACTCACGTTGACTAGCTGTGTGTTTACATCACAACGCCAGTGGATGCAAGGGGTGACCTGAAGAACGACAAGCACTGAGTACACAACGTCCTGTACACAGGCTCAGTTAGACCACTGTAGTTGTGTGTTTACAGTCTTTCATCCGCAGCAATAACATGACGTCAATGGATGGAAGGGTAGCTACCAAAGTGAAGGGCGGTCAAGCACTTCCTACCGCTGTAGACACTTTAGTTCAAATTTCCGATTATAGGTTCCTTATACCAAAACGTTCAAAATTTCATCCTTTACAATCCCCCAAATTTTTAAAACGTCATTCTGATACACCCTGTATATGGACATTCGGTGTATCTGCATCAATTTTCTCTAAATCAAAGCGAGTCATTCGCAGGCGAGGCGATTCATTTTTTGAACTTAGAGACTTAGCGACTGCGGCTTTTCTTTTCAGTTTTAAGGCCATCCTTTTCCATTGTATCAAGAACTGTTGTATCAAAATTTAATAACTTTTGGATCACTTATTGGGAGAGAAAATTGGCAATTCCAACAGGATAATGCTTGTAGTAGACAATCCACAATTTCACAAGCAATGTCGCCTCCGTGCTTGTGAAGTTGTGGATTGTCTACTGGAGCGAACGACTGATGGAAAACGAAAGCAAAGTATCTTAATCTTTGTTAAACGTTGCAACTTTATTTATATACTTAAGTGTAATGAAATTAAATAAAACTTTATTACTTTTGTATAATACAATAAGTGTTTTGCGATTTTATATATGAAAAAAAAAAAGTAGCGTATTTTTAAGATTTGTAGCCTGAAGATAATTATCACTAGTCCAAAAAGTAGCGTGTCGCCCAATTTGAAATTTTTGTAGCGAGGGCACTTAAAAAGTAGCCCAATCCGCTACTTGTAGCCCAATCTGGCATCACTGCACTCAGCCACTGGTGGGCCCCAGACGCGTAGCTAGGGTGGGGCAAGTGGGGCACGTGCCTCGGGCGCCTTTCAAAGGGGGCGCGCAAAATCGCCAATTATTAAATTTAAAAATCAAAATAAATCAATTCATATCAAACAATCTCGTCCGCGACTCACGCGCTTCGGGAATGAGTGGTGCGCGCAGGTGATGCACTAGCTTTTTCAAATTCGACACTTCTCGCGCAGTTGTTTATTTTGTTTACATGTAATTTGTGATTCTGATTTAAATACTCCCGAGCGAGTGAGCGATAATTATTGAAACCACAGTAGAACCTCGATTATCCGGACTTTCGATTATCCGAATTGTTCAAAATAAACAAAAATTTTACGAATTTGCTGATTTGCACTTGGCGAATTACGATACTGTTTATGTATGTGATGGAATGCATAACTTTTTTTGTTTTGTGGCGAACGCCGCCCTTCACATCTGTACCCTTAACGGTTGTAATTTTTTTTTTTTTTAAACAAAAACTAAACTTTTATTGTCCTTCTCGCGTACTTGGTACTTGGCACATGTCTCGACGACGCGGCTAACAAAGACAACTGGTGGTCGACGGTCTTTGTGGGTTGAGTTCGAATTTATTCCAGGAAGTGATGACTCATTCACCCGTGGGTAAATGCTTGTATTTTACAACCGTTAAGGGTACAGATGTGAAGGGCGGCGTTCGCCACAGTTTCAACAACGTCTCACCCGGCACAGTGGCCGTAAACTCTTAAATATATTTTGCGTCGTAATAAAAATATAACTTGACATACGTATTTATAAATAATTTTATTTTCAAATTACATCAGTTCTATGACCAAGGGCGGCGTAAGGCATGGGCAACGTGGGCCACCGCTTATGCCTCGCGGTCCGAAGGACCTCGTGTTTCGAAGGTTTATGCATTATTTAAAAGCTGCGAACGCAACGAAAAATTTTACTCGTCATAAAAGGATAAATAGTTTGTCAAATTTTTATTCATAAAAATGCAGTTTCGACTGCTTTTTATTTTATAAAATTCGTCTTCTTGCGCCATTAGAGGGCCTTTTAAACAATAGGTAGTCTGTTAGCGTTGGTCAGTAGTAGTCCAAATTCAATACGAACGTTTGTTTCTTGAAAATTTGATCACGATTTAAATAGAGTATTTACTTTTAATATTACCGATATGTCATCGGAAAGAAAACGTGTTGTATTATCATTAAAAGACAAAGTATTTGTTTCGATTATCCGAATTTTTCCGTATCCGGACTACCTTCATCCCAATTGGTCCGGATAATCGAGGTTCTACTGTACTTGATTTGTTATCTAATTGCCAGTGTGTGGCTTGTTGAGCCTTGGTTTTTTCCTCTTTTTTTCTCTTTCTTCCACCATTTTCCCTTCATAAATTTCACTTCCGGCCTTTGTTCTGTTGACCTCACCGTAACTGCTTGACCCAATGGTCCGATGGGTCATTAGAGAATAGGGGGTGACACCGGATTGGTCAAAGGGAAAAAATCGTCATTCGAGGAGAAGAGCTGGGAAGAAGACAGAGATATCAAGGAATATGGAAAGAAGACCCACTAGCGTAGCGAGGGGGGCAAGGAGGCCTATTATACTCCGGGCACCACTCGCAGAGGGGCGCCAAATGGTCTCCAAAACAAACAAAATTTGTTTCTGGAGGGGGAGGGGGAGGGGGCGCCAATATAGTGTCGTGCCCCGGGCGCCAGTTATGTTCGCTACGCTATTGGTGGGCCCCGCGTTTCTTATGCAGCGAGAGTGTAGCGAAATGACGTCACGAGGAGTGTTGGCCAATTAGAAACCAGTTTCAGTGTGTTCGCTGTAAAGCGCTTCTCGAGCGCTGCATAAAGAAACGCGGGGAAATTGTCTGTGATAGTTAAAATACTGTATTGTCATTATTGTCCTGTGATATCGTCTTTTTGTAATAATTAACAGTAGTAGTATAGTATATGATAAATAAATGCTTACAAATAAACAAGTATAATTAATTTTGTTACATAAATTTTTAATTCTCATATTTAACCATTTAATTTTAATACAGAATAATATCACGTGACGCCAATTTTTGAATTTTCAAAAAAAAAAAAAAAAAAAAAAAAAGGGGGCGCTTATTGTTCCCGCCAATAGATGTTGTGAAAGTCTGTTCTGAAACCACTGGAAGGTTTTTCTTTGGAGGGAAAATGGCAGTAAAACTTTCAGAAGGATCTGTTAAAGTAAGAAAACTTTATCTTTTTCCTTTAATGTATAATATATATTAGTTTTGCCATAAATAAGTATTTGAAATTAATATTTTTTTATAGCTTCTCCAATGTGATGATGTTTACAGGTTTTTAAGACACTGTATGGGTTTGATAAAGCTGTGTTAATTTGTTTCGAAATAAAAATTTCATTTCACTGCTGGGAAAAATAGTTATATTCTGAAATATTTCTTTAAATGAATTCTCATCATTTAATGTTTTTCACCACAAAATTTTACACGTCTATGAATCTAACATCTGCCTTTGTGTGTCACATCATGTTTTGTTTTGATTTTTTTTTATATTTTCGTAGCTTTTTCACATTTTGGATGTGGGAACTAGTGTTTGAGTTGATGTAATAGCTCTATGGAAAATTGTTTGGTGCTAGTACCCCAGAACAACCAATCTGAGGCCATATTCAGGTCACTTATCTCTCATCTCTTCTTTCAGAGACAAATGACGTCAAAATGAAAGACGAAATTCATCTCTCAGAGACAGAGGCGATTCCAGTCGTTTGTAAAAGTCTTGTCTTTGTGTTGACATCACGATTCTACTAGGTTGATTATACAGATTTGGGTAATCTGTGTGTGCAACATATCACAGAATTTTAACCAATGAAATTGTTAAAATTTTCGAAAATGAAGAGTATGAAATTATAGATCACGTAAGGAAAGCACGAGTTCAAATAAGGCACTTAATTTTGACAAAAATGTTTTTTGTTATATAACATTATTACAGATTGTAATGTCAAATTGTCTGTTAAGAAATAAAAATTTTAATAATCTAAGTTAGAAAAGTGTGCGTATTTAGTTAAGGAGAAATTAGATGGTAATATTTCAAAAAATACTTAGAGAGACAGATAAGATCATATTCAATTTCAATAGTTTAGTAATTGATGTAGGATAATTTTAAAAAAATGGAATCAGTGGTATTCTTGAGTAGATACTGGATAAACACCAGAAGCATTTTTTTCTCTTGAAATATTCTTTCCTGAGATAGAGAACATTCTCTAATATGATTTTACAGTGCATATAGCATACAGTCATCCATATGGGATATAATCAAGACAAAAGACAACTATCTGCTCATCTCTGAGAGATGAGAATCTTCGAGAGAAAAAGTCCTCCAGAATTGCATTTGGAGACACACACGATAGGTACATTCATAAAGTCGAACGAGTTAAACGAAAATGACGTCATAGTTATTCTTATTTCTTTAGACTTTTCAAACAATTTGTTTATAACTAAACGGCTGTTTCTAAAATCAAAGATATGAATGTTGCTAGTGCAGCCTTATCTGAAATATTTTTCTTAGATTGCTTTGGGTGGACAGTTATTTCAATCATTTTACCTTTTAATTCACAATTCAAACACTCGAGTAGATTTAAAAAGATCGATATCGTTGGGCACCATTTTCTTAACGAAGTAAACTAACTCTTTCCTTTGTGAACTTTGTTAGAGTTTCGTTCGAAACATCATTATCGCAGTAGTAGTCACACTGAGTGAGACTACTACTATTCGAATGATTCGTTATTAATGCGTTTAACTTGTTTGACTTTATGAATGTACCTGATGATCTCTTGAGATGTAACCAAATGATTAGCTAATCAGTGACTGACTTGTGACGTAGACAATGTGTCTCAGAGATGAGAGACCATGACCAGAATACCTCTGAAAGCAGACCAGAGTAAAAGCCTCTGGTCTGCTTTTACTATTCGTTGGAGACTGTTATCAATTCCAGAGTAAAACATATTTGGAGCATTGTCTTTGCCTGCTGGTCAGATATCAATTTAGGAAAACATCTTTGTTTTCCTACAAAGTCTTATGAAACTCCTTTGGACCAACAAAGACCTGTCAACTTTTCTCGCACCTACTGCTTTGTGTATAGAGGGGGATTGGATCTAAACTTTGCCATCCATGCAAAGTGTGAGTTGCCATGTATTTTTAAAAATAAGGTCATAAAAATACAATTTATTTATTCTAAACACAAAATGAGATTTTTTTTTTTATATAGATTTTTAAAATTGTAATTTCTTTTTGTCTTATATAGTTTGTGAAATTCCACCTAAAGCAGCTGGTTTCTTTGCTGGTACTTAGAGCCAGCCTTGTTCATAGAATTTAATTTTAGTGTATTAGTTTCTCATGTAACTAGATTATTCCTATGTTATTGCTGGAGACATGTTCACTATATGATTAAATCACTTAATTTGTTACCTCATCCATGCATAGTAATAAAATATTTAGTAACATTTTCAATGGATGCAATTATATAGTTTTCCTTTGTCCTATGTCATGTTTATATCACTGTTTTATCTTTAATGCATAACTATTGTGTCATCTCCACCCCTACACTATTATTAATATTTCATGTCTTTGCAGAAATTTGGATGCACTTCCTGTTTAAAAGTTTGTCAGTTTCCATGAAACTTTTAAATAAGTACATGTTTTGATATACATTTATACAAATTTCCTTTAATGCAGTTGAACATTTTTTAAGCTTAAATAATTAACTTTATGGAAATAAATGAGTTTTTTTTGTCATCAGTATAGATGTATATATAAAAAAGAAAAAACTTTACTTAAAACTTTACCTCGGTTAGAGTAAAATACTGTATTTGAGAATATAGAAAAGATCTCTATTTTAAACAGCCTTCTCTGGCTTCATTTATATGATTTTCACTTACTATTTTTGTGGAAACTATTACTTAGTAAATGGAGGAATTATTGTATTGGTATAGTGCTGACATAGTAATACTTCTTATAAATTTATTAGCCTGATGAGTAGTACACAATCTACTTCTTGAATTTCTGGTGTCAAATGTATTGGCAATGCTATAATAAAAAAGATCAATAATTGATTAATAAAATGAAGAAGAAACTAACAATAAGAATAAAAAATATATATTTACTTTTATCCAAATAAAAATATTAACACATCTTTTGTAAAAAGAAAAACCCTTTTCATCGAATAACTTTTCTTGACATTTAACATTGAGCACTAAGTTTTTGTATAATACTGTGGGTGATTGGTTCACGAATAGTTCGGACTACAAACACTTTTGCGAAAGATTTTTATGTTAGGACAACAAACACATGTTCAGATAATGAACACCTGACAGAACAAACACAAGAAGCAGCGCTGCATTTTAAGATATGTAAAACTATTTTAATGGCATCTATACATGGTTTATGGAGCAAGACTTTCACACTTGTGTACATAACCTTTTTTTTGCACTAGTTAATTTCTGTTCTCTGAATTTTGCTAAGTGCTTTTCTGAACTTTTTATTTTAAAAAAATGATAATATTATGGGGTCTAAAAAGAGGAAAGTTTCACTGTGTTCACTATAGAAAGTAAGCAAGAGATAATAGCCAAGGTAGAGAGTGGGCAGAAGATGTCTGATATTGTAGACAGATGACTTCAACAGGGCCATGTTCAGTAATGCAGGATTCTTGTTAAGTCTAGTTATGCTGCAATGTTGAATTCGTTTCTAACTACTGCTTGACTCCTCCCACTGCTAGAATTCTAGCTAGTTTAGTCAACTTCTTTTATCAATGCTAACTTCTAGTGATGTTGACGTCATTGTTTTTGTCTCATTGTACAATTTGCAAGATGGCTGCTCGTGTTGGACTAAACATATTTTATTATAACTATCACAATATTATTATCTCATTCAAATCATTAACTCATTCTAAAATGACTGTGAAATGTAAAATTATCATACATCGGTATAACAGATTCCGAATACATTTTAACGGAAGACAACAGTCCATTTCGTTGATTACAATTAATAATTGCTTCATTAATTTTGTCACAATCTGACACATATTCATTTGAATAATTGTATTGGTTACTTCATCCTTTTCAACCAGTTCATTTGTGACAATTGTTGCGATCATAATTTTAACTTTGTCCACCATTTTGCCCAGTTGTCTAACTAAGAACATGGCCCAGGGCTACAGTAATATAGTCTTAGCTAAGAAAGATACAATCAAAAAGACTCAAGCAGATAAAATAGTGACAAAAATTGCATCTAAGAAACCAAAATGTGCCATCCATGAAAAAAATGGAGAGATTGCTTTTAGTTTGTTATTACTTGTAAATAAACATAGTAAGAAAGTTATTTTTGGGGTCTCCAGAACAAATTAATCAAACCCACAAAAATCTATGGTAAATCAATAATCGGTTAATGAACAGTTTGGATAGAGAACATGCCATACATTTCTATATTCAACGGTTGACTCAACAGTGAATTTTCCGAGTCCCTCTGTTGAACAATCTGACATCACGTTTTGCAGAAAAAAGAAATGCTTTCATTGAGATGCTTTCACTTTTTAAGATGGCTGACTTAAGTAACTAGAAGGTAGCAATTGTGTGTGTTTTGCTAAATAATTAAAGTAACTTGCTTAATCATTATTCAAATAAATCCTTTTATTCAAATGAACCCATATCTGTATAATTTTCTTGTATACTGGGTCTTTCTTTAATAATTTTAATTAATTTCTTGAATATTTATATCATTAGAAAGACTTAGAGGCCAAATATTGTTCATAATCAATTTTGGACAAATGAAAAAAAACTTAGTATTTCAATATTGACCAAATTATTCAACATAATCGTGCAATCACGTTTTATCATATACAGATTGTTTATTAATCTGTCTGCTATTACAGCATCCACAGCATCGAATGGATAGTTTCTATAAGTGAAATTTACTTTTTCATGGAAGCTGTCATGTTTGTTGAATGCTCAACGGTCTTTCAGGTCGTTGAGACCATTGAGCTCAATGGTGAAACAGCGCTGATGTCACTAGTCTCAAAGGAGAACTCAACGGTCCATTTAGAAACATTGTTCTCTCACTGTTGAATATAGAAACGTACAGATGGTCTTGGAATGGATTATGTTCATTAACCAATCACCCACCATATTAGATTGTATGTTGTTCCATTTTTATTAAGATAATTATTTCACTTTGAAG